ACCCACACCCACCCACACCCACACTCACACCCACCCTGGGATTTGGGTTTGGGTTTGGTCTTAAATTACCCAAATATGACGAGGCTTTGTAAAATAAAGTCCCAGAAGGGAGAAAAGAATCCCAAGTCTTATAAATTAATATGAAATGGATTGGGTTTGGTATAGATTTGGGTTTTGGGATTTGGATTTGGATTTGGATCTTAGATTTGGATTTGAGATTTAATGTATAGCAGGTTGGGATTTGGGTAGGATTTGGGTTTGGGATTTGGATTTGGAGGTTGAGATTTGGTTTCAATTTAGCAAGACTACAAAGTTGGAGTCATGTTAGATTGAAACCAAATCCCAAGTCCAAATCCAAATCCCAAATTTCAAGCATATCACCAATTCTGAATCCCAAATCTCAGCCAAACAAAGCGATAGCAGCAATTCTGAGATTCAAATCTAGACGAAATCCACATCTAGGAACTAAATCCGAACCATACCCAAATCCAGACACCAAATCCAAATCCAAGTCCAAATCTCAAAGATTTGGTGCCAAATTCCAAATCTATTCAAGATTTGTTGCACCCCTACCCACACCCACACCCACACCCACACCGACACCCCACACCCACACCCACACCCACGCCCATACCCGCATACATGCTTTCACAGAAACTAAACTCACATAGGAATCTGTGTGTTTTGAAATGCTAGAGAATCATCATGGTCCCTTAAGGGTCCAGCCGTCCCCAAAGGGTCAACCCTCTGGGGACGATGGTACAAGGGTTGTACCACCTTTCGTTTCAATATGAAAAATGTTTGTTCCTCATGAAATTATTATAACTTGTACAGTAACAGGTCGTCCCAGCTGCTATCACATGCATGTCTTTTCTCTGTTTCTTTCTGTCCTATAGATGATCTTCAAATCTTCTATTTTCTTTCTGCCTCATACACCGACTTCATAATCACTTCCTCTCTGATCTTGGTACATTTTTATAAGGCTTTTATATAATCATTTTGAGCGAAATACAATAAATTGATGAGAGAGACATTTTCCAATCGGAAATTAAACCCGTCCTCAAATGGTTAAGTTGATACTTTTTCATCATGGTCCTTCTTTGAATTTTTCAGCATCTATGTGACTAATAGAGGTAAGTTTGTGTTTGATTGTTCATCGAGTTCCAACACTTCCACAATTAATTGAAAGCCTTCAGTTTGTACTTGCTGGGTACTACGGACTCCAACATCTATAGAGTGTGTTCCTGATGGAATATACAGAATATCAGTCTTTGAGCAAGGAACGGTTGCGCTTCCGGCATTGTAGTATAAAATACCACCTCGAGCATCTAGTCTATCTAAATCAGTACCAAGAAATGATGCGGTGCTACTTCGCTGATTATTATTCGGAAGTAGTTTGTTGTTATACGGGATGTAATCGTCTACTAGTATTCGCACATGTGTGATGGAGTTTCCGGAACTGTAGATTTGTCCTTGAATATGGATTCTATATAAGCGAGGTTGCGTATGATGGAATATCAGCGATAGCCCTGGCACTTTCTGAAATGTTGGCGAGACAGTATTCACTACATAGACGTCTTCCTCCTGGAATTTGAAAAAAAATTGGGGAACTGTATTTATTTTAACACTCCGGCCGTGCACTCGATCGAGGTGGATAACATTGGAATGCATTATTTTTGTGCCATTATCTCCTGTTTCTGCCCAAGAATATTGATAAAGAGCCAAAGTAAGAATAGCGAAGCTTAACATTGGAGAACAGGCCCAGAGAAAGATTTCGTATGCTGCGTGTGTTTCGAATATCAACAGAGTTATGAAATGTAATCAAGCTGAGTAAAAAACAACGAATAAATAATGACGGCAAATTTAATATTGACTGTAGTCTGATGCATATTTTACCGGTGAAACAGTTCCTAGTAACAGAAACACATAAATAAGTATGGAGCTATATTATTTCTGTATTGAAATTTTACTAATACTTGAAGGCGTACAAGTGGCATTTAGAATAATATATCGACGTTACTTAAAGCTTTCCATGAATAATCTGTGAATAAATAAGCATAAATTATCCGACTATGAAAAGAAAGGACTCTGTCGAATTCGATGATCCAGTTGGCACAAGAGCGTCCTATATATGGTTTTGGGTGCGGCTGCGAGTGTGAAGCATTAAAGAAAACAACACTCATACCCACACCGACAAGCCACTCCCACTCCCACCCCGCACACCTACACCCTCAAGATGGTGCGTTTATCTTCGAAGAAATTTATGCTTTTTTTATGAATTAAGTTAGTTATGATTAATCAATACACAATCGGAGAATATACACTTATAAAATAAATGTGCGAGACTGAACATTTGCATATTTTGAAATCACATATTGAAATTATCGATGTCTGTTTATGAAGTACTTGAAAACAATATTAATACACGAAAATTGTTCGTTCACATAAAGACACATTGACCAACGACAACAATTATTAGTGTTCATATTGCCATGCTGTTACTTGCCATCGCAAAAACTGCCAATGTAGTAAAGTGGTACTATGGACATTTGCCAACACCTTCACAGTTAGAAACTGATGTGATCTTTAATAGAAATGTTGGTCTTGAGACTGGATAAGAGTGTGGGCGCTAATCTTCCCTACATACACACACCCACTCCACACCGACTCACAGCCACAGCCACAGTCACATCCCGCACACCCCCCTCCCCAAACACCACGCCCAACCCAACCCCCAAACCCCACACCCACTCCTATCCACACCCACACCAACACCTACCCACACCCAAGGAGAACACGATCGAGTATATATACTAGAGAAACAGGGAGAGATCATGACGTCATGTGTAATAGGAACGAAAGAGAAATAAATGCGAAAACCTCGGATTTAAATCCGAGTGTTATGTGTACTTCAAAAAGTGAAAAGGTATATTCACTGTGCTTTTTATCACTGAATTGCAAGGAGAAAATACAGGCGTGCTAAGTTAGCATGGACCACACTGTATGCTACCCTAACCGGTGACCACTGACTCTACTCTCAGAGTGATATAATATCTTTAGAAATTACAAAAATTGAGTTCAGATTCGTGTTTAGCTTGGAAAACTGGCTAAGAAGAGTTATTTTTGATTGGATTTGCGTTTGTATCTAGCAGGATTACGATCGTAAGCAACCTCATCAATCTATAAGAGATATATCATAGATAAAGGCATCACTATTTTCCTAATAAATCACCAATATTAATAGCTATCAAGTTAGGGCTTTTACCTTTCGATAGTCCTTTTGACTAGCTACAAAATCAGGCATTTGGAAAACGCCAAAACTACTGGTCATCTGAGACAAATCTAGGCAATTTGGTTTCTGGATGCAGTTTTTGTGCATTTTGAGACCTTTTTCAGGCAATGTTTTGTTAGAAAGCTACAATTTGGTTCAAAACTAATATCAGATTGGGAATCAGCGTTAAAAACTGAGTCGATTTATATATGTTGTGAATAATTTTGATAAATGGTGGGGTGTGGGTGTGGGTGTGGGTGTGGGCGTGGGTGTGGGTGTGGGTGTGAGTGTGGTGTGGGTGTGGGGGTGGGTGTAAAGAAAAAAATCATAAAGATCCACACCCACACACCACCCACACCCACACACCACCCACACCCACACACCACCCACACCCACACCCACACCCATCTTTTGAATACGATGTGGACGCGCGCGAATATGTGCGTAGGTAAGTGTTTCAGAAGTGAAAATCGCAGTACTCGCTCTTACAGCTATCCATCCGGACTTGTATTCAGACATGAAATTTGTTTATATCTTTGAATAAGTATACTTTTATATAATCATCAGTACAAGTGATTATTCGGCTTCTAATCGCCATAATTACCGTAAACACACAGCAGTAGGTTTGATAAGTCATCGCATGACTGTTGGAACTCTGTTTGCTCAAGCTTTATGACTATCGGTCATTCTTTTCGTAATGGGAATCGAACATATGGCTCAGAACAAATCAATAATTATTTATAATATTTTATCGTTGTATCTGAAACCCAAAGAATACAGAAAGGCAATATAATTTATTAGTATATTCTTTCTAGCCTTTTTTCTTTTATTATCACAAACCTATTACTGAGTATGGCGCAGTTTTCATTCCGAGTATGTCAGTTGTATTTATACTTGGCTTCGTGGTGATAAGTCAAAATTGTTGTGATTCGACAAGCATCGATGGTATTTGGTTTGGTCTGGTCAATCAAATCAACCCTAGCAAGGTGTTTGATACTACAATTATAATCGATTCGAAAAATTCCATCTATAAAATTGAGTATGGACTAAATGGTAACTCATACTATTGTGGAGGATACTGGATACAGAGCTCTGGCGCTGTATTCCAAGAAAAAAGTAGTTATGGACCTTGTATTGATGGTTTGGTTGATTTCACTCCATATTCTAATGGGACCGCATTCTTTCGATGGTGGAATAATGGGCCTGTTGAAGCAAGCGGATGGTTTACTCGTATAACCAGTTTATGTCGCTGAAAAAAGCCAAATAAATTCAACTATACTTGTTCGCGTGCCTATAATTTTTATTTCAGAATAAAACGGCTGAAACTAGTCAAAAAATACCTTAATAATATTTTCTTCATTCGTAATCGTCCTAGAGCTTGAACTGTTTATGTAGCGGTAAATCAAATTGTCTTGGCGGGTTGGAATTACATCTTTAAGCGATTAATTTTTGGTGGAAACAGATAGAACAAGTATTTAGCGCAATATCTGTGAGATTCCCGAATAAAAAACGGCAGAAAAATTCTATTAAGACGTGTTTATAGGTATTAGTGAAGTGTGACTGTGCGTGATTTAAGCTCACAAATAGAGTCATTTCCATGCTCCCCATCTGACTATAGATAGAATACATGAAAGTGACGATCAGGGTGGATGTGGGTGTGGGTGTCATCCTCAGTAGAGATACTCACACCCACACCCTCGATTAACATTGTATAGATGAATAACTCTCTAGAAGACGAACAAAGGTATTCAACGTTTTATGCAAATTACTTCCAAATTTGGTCGAAAATTAGAAAGAAATATTTTCAATGAAAATTTAGTTTTGTAAAAATTTTAATCGTAGAAAAAGGAAAGGTGATGAGGTGTTTATGGAATATTCTTCCTTTAAGGATCATTTCCTGATGGTCATAATTTTGACAAAGAAGAATTTAGTACCATACCAGAAAATACAGTTCTTACTGTCAATATTCGTACTGGTCAAATCATAAATCAATGGGGAAATAATACGTAAGTTTTCTTCATTATTTTAATAAATAAAATAAATTTAATATCCTATTTAAGATTCTATATGCTTCATGGTCTTTCGATTGATAATAATGGAAATCTTTAATTAACAGATATTGGAATACATTAGACAAAAAAAAATTTGTTTTTTGAATAATAAATAAATAATATTTATTTAATGAAAAAAACAAAAAGTATTTAAATATTCAAAAGGCGAAGGTGTATTAATATTAGGTGAATCATTTGTTCCTGGAAGTGATTCATCACATTTTTGTAAAATAGTTGCTGTTGTTACATCAAATGATGGTTCAAATATTTATATTACTGATATAGATATGGTAAAATGCACATATTGTTAAATTTGATTCAAAATAAAATGTAAAAAAAAATATCCAATGTCTGAAGGAGAAGAACCATTTTTTATTTCTCATAGTATTATCTTTATTGCAAAACTTCATCTTTTTTTGTGTTCCCGATAGATAAGATGAGCGGTAAAAATTTATTTGACTTCTTATTTAAAATAAATTTATTCGAATAGATTTGTTTGTTTTAGTTGTGGTATTGATAATGTCGAAACAAATCGAAATGATCATGGTAAAGTTAATGCTATTATTGGTCATCCTTTAATGAAAACTGCTTATGCTATTAATTATCATCCAAATAAACGTATGTTTTATTTAAAAAATTATTCTTAAATAAATAAATATTTGTTTTAGCCGATCGTTTTTATGCAGTTAGTGGAAGAAATGATCAAAATTGAGCATTGGGTTTTACTTTTAGTGCTCATTTAGAATCATTCGGTCAATTAATTATTACTTCGGAAATCAAATGATGTTTGCTTATTTTATTTTAAAAAATCAATTATGTATATATTTTTTAACATATTGTTTAGAAATTTGGTAAACCACATGATTTGGTTTTCAGTGTAAATAATCGTTCATTATTCGTTGGTGAAATTCGTCCGAATCGTATTTGTTCATTTAATGTTCTGAATTAATTTTCGAGAAAATTTTTCTTTTTTTTTCTGAGCAATAATCACAACAATCATTATTATTTATCAAAGGTTTTATCAATATTTTACTCCAATTATTTTAATATTAAAATAAATAAATCTTCAGTAAACTACCCGTAATATACTTTATGATAAATGTTTTGTTTTAAATATGGAATATTAGTTTTTTTATTTGACAAAACGTAGAAAAGAATCAATGAAAATCTTTTTGTTAAAAATATATGATTGTTTTAGTTGAAAATATCTGGGAGAAAGGCTCAAATTGACTTTTAAACGAATGTGCATTTTTTTTTAGATTTTTTCGTATCTAAATAAAATTCTTTGTCAGTCAGTCAAAATGCAATTGTTTCTATTTTTTAAAATTGTTATCAATAAGCAAAGTAAACGACGTTTTTAAAGTCTAAGAATATGGTTATTCTTGTCATTCACTTCCACACTGTAAATAATCAAATAATAATGAAATATTGTTCTTTCGTATATTAGTAATATTACAATTTCTATTTTATTTCTTCTTTTTGATACATCTTTTTCATGTCAATACAAGAACGAAAAAGCATCTAATATACATATCAATAAAAAAGGAAAAGCACCTAATGTACATATATATACATAATGGCAATACAAAAAAAAAACGCAATTGAACACATTGAATTCGTCATTTTTCAATAAATATTACTTCTTAACCGATGGAGGTGAGTCATTCGACGAATTAGACGAGTTGTGTTCAGATAATTTTGCTTTTACATGATTAAGATCATCTTCAAGTTGTTGCATTCTTTTTTGCACACATTCAATCGTATTAAAAATACTTTTTGTTCCATTCACGTAATTCTTTATTTTCTTTTTTTAATTCATCATTTACTGTCGCTTGTGATGCATTTGCTTGTTCTAATTGTTTGATTTTCTTCTTCTGGTAATTCACTATTTGTTTTATCCTACAAAAAGAAAACAATGAATATTCAAAGTTTCAATTATATTTAAGTGTATATTTACTTCTTTTCCTGATTTTGAAAATGATTTTACACTGGTACTATACATTGCTTTGTCGATTAGGATGAATGAATGTTGGCTTAATACGTTATCAAAATAGTAGCTGATTCTGAAATAAAAGCACTATTAGTTGAATAGTTTTTTTACCTTTGCGCAAGACACATTTTGTTCTTTTAACACAATCAGAAGGACGGTCACAGTATTTATACACAACGAACAATGATGCAATAGGTGATGGAATCAATGAAAAAAATTTCTTTGTATTCAATTACCTATTCATGCAGAAGATAATATCCATACAATTGACTTGTGCCGTCCGCTGTGAAAAAGCAAGACGGTACCATGTATGCATTATGAAAAAGCAATACCGACGAATCACTCATATGCACTAAAGACATCAAAGAAAACAACGGTCTTTTTTTTCGTCATATATATAAATTTTAAAATTTTATGCTTAAGCGTAAAATTAATTAACCTTTTTTTTTAAACTTTTTAAAGATTTTTAATATACATTTAAATTTTTGGCTGTGGGATGTGGGTGTGGGTGTATACGAGGTTCTTCTCTTCTAGCACACTCACCCACACCCACCCCACACCTATATCCACACTCACAGTACATTGATTGGCACCTAAGGAAAGATCTTTTTGATGCATTAGGTACCAAAGTCTATAATATTTAGGTTGGTTAGAATCTACAGATTTTCGAAATGATCTAAGCACAGATATTACCTACATGCCGTTTCCTAGTGCTAGGATTTAGGAAGAAAAATTTGCTCAGATCGATCAGAGGAGCAAAGCGAGCTACGGATGGTAGGTCGAAGCGACAAAAGCTTTGATTGAAACTTCCACGGACTATTATTATTTTCGTCGAGAATACACATGAATTTCATAAAAAATTACCGAATTCGCTACTTTTGTATTATATACTTCGTACTTCACATCATACACATTCTCACATAAACTATTGAATAAGAATTTCGTGGTAAAGTTCGCAAAGCAGTTTACTGGATATGTGTGCTATGAAGCTGTACAGGTTTCATGCACAAAAATAAAAGATAAAAGTACTGATATTGTCGCCGAATCATTGATAATAATTCTTTTCATAACGCTGTGAAAATTTTCAACAGTTACTGATGCTCTGAATACTCAGCTGACAAATTGTATCGTACAAGTAACGGTGTTCAATAATGTTATTTTTTCTAGTAACGAAAATTGGAACTTGTTAGCTGTAAGACTTTCAATGTTATTCAGTATGAATTTTTTTTGTTATATTTGTGGAGTTCAAGCAAAATTGTTCAAATATTAGTTTGTTATATAGCTAGTACTATTTTGCAGCTATAGCTGAGTGATCTTCCTTTGTTCTAGGTCTTGGTTTCGTTTTGGATAGTTTCATTGCCGATTGTGAGCGACATTGAGTCGTCAGGCTTCTTAGCTTGATCCACAACACTTTGCTCATGTCGAGCAGATTGGACACAGTAGTATAGAAGCAGACTCATGATGAAAATCGTTATAATATTAATAATGGCCAGTAATGAATAGAACGCACCAATACCAATAGCGTTTTGTAGAGGTACAGCCAAGGTCACACCTATGCCAGCTCCACAAAAGTAGAGCATACTGTTGGCAGCAGAAGCTGCTGCAGCATCCTTTTGCTTTTTAGCTGTCAGATATGACGATATGCCCGGAAGATAAACCGATTGTCCAAAGCTGAGTACAATCTGCCCAATGATGCCGACTAAAATGTGCACACGATAGTGAAATGCCCATCCGTAGATGATTAACCCGATGGGAGTGAGAACAGAAAAGGCAGCAGCAGGCACGAGCCGACCTTCAGGACAATTCGCTGTAAAATAACGGCTGGCCTGGTCTGAAACCCATCCTCCAAGCAAGCTGCCAACCAACATGGCTATACCGGCCGGAACGAACAAAATTCCAATAATGGTCTCGCTTTTTTTGTAGGGCTCTTCGGCGAGATAAGTTCCAAAAAGAGCCAAGCTGGTGAAAAGGCCCGTAAATGTAGTCATTGTCACAGCGATATATGGTATAATTGAAATATCGGTGAGAAATCTGAGAGTAAGAAAAGGCAATTGAAATTGAGGTTTCTCTGGTCGGTGATCTTGTTGAATATGCTGCATTGGGTGATCCCGTTCGTATCGTTTCATGGCAATATATTGCTGCGTCTCGGGCAGCATAAATAGTACACCGAATAAAAGTATAAATGAAACAATAGTGAGCAAGACGAATGTACTGCGCCAGCCAAATTTTTCGGAGAGTGCGCCACCAATTAGGGGTCCTATCACGGGACCCACAAGAATAGGCACGAAAAAAATACCTGTATACCATCCGCGGCGCTCTGGAGCATAGATATCAGATATTACACCCTGACCAATGACGATTGTAGAAGATACTGCAGCACCTTGGATTCCTCGAACAATGATCAGCAAATTGATATTGGGCGCAAAAATACAAGCAATCGATGCAGCCACAAAGATACTAAGCGAAATCACGAGAATAGGCTTGCGACCATATTGATCTGAAAGTGGCCCCCAAACAATACCGAAGAGACCATTCATGAATAAATATATTGAAACACTGATAGCAACGAGTGTTTCACTTGTTTTCAGGTCTCTCTCGATGGTGCCCAACGAAGGTAAATAGATAGTATCACAAAACGGAAGAAGAACACCCACAAGGGATACAATAACAAGAATAAGGGCATATCTAGCAGGCGAACGGAGAGCGTAAATGGAAAGTTCTTCAACGCACGTTGGCGATGACAATATAGTACGTCTATCGTTGGTGTTATCGATAATGATGAACGGGTTGACGAGTGACTGTGATTCCGGAATCTGAGATTCAGACGGAATGCATTTATCCTCATTGTTGAATGTCATCTCCAACTCATATGAAAGTAGAAGTAAATGAGATTGCAATGAAAAAATGATACACAAAATTACTCAGCATCACTTGCAAATCCCTATCAAAGATCGAAATCGAATCTCATTATCAAACTATTCGATTCGACACAGTCGCGTCGAAGCAAATTGAATCTAGATTTTGAAAAAGTAGTCCCAATAGAATAGAATTGAATAGGAATTAGCTGATTTCGTTGAGTAGCAACTTCCCAATGAGCTATGGAAGATGTCTGAACATGTCTGGTGATAATCGTCAAGTTTTTTTTCTTTTGTATAAGGCCGAGTCTATTCTATAGGTTCTTGATTTTTTCAAATACTATTGTACTTCTACATACTTCTAGGAATGCTTGGTCAGTTCCTAATATACAGAATTACTCCAGTTGCTTTTAATATCTTTGGGTATTTCTGGTACAGCTTCATTTTCAGTGGCTTTTAGAAGTCTTCTAAACACCATTTGACTATAATGAGATTTTTCGAATTTTCCTTGAAGCTTGGGGTATTCTTCCAGCGCTAGAACATGAAGCCCCATAGCTTTTAGAAGTATTCATATACATGGCTAAGTTTGTATCTATGTATGAGCTGAATATGAGTTAAAGGTTCTGCTATTGCTTCTTCAAACGCATTCAGCTCATAATGAGACTTACAGCGGGAATGTTATAACCTGCTACAAAAAGATCATAAATTTTGTAGTGCAGAGAGTTCCATAGGCTGACTTTCGACAAAGTATTCCAATATTTAGTTCAAATCATTTTCATCTCATGAAAAAATGGTTTTCTTTATACTCTTCTAGATGAAATTCAAGATGGAATGATTTTATAGATACTCTCCTTTTCACTTTTTCTT